CCTCTGGGCTTTGTGCGTTGCTCGTTTGCCTTTTGCTTGTGTCTCCACTGCTGCCGCCCCGTCCCCCGCGGATCCAGGCTCCCAGCACCGTCGGCTGTTGGGCCAGTGAAGTGGGCAGCGGGAGCGCGCCTCCCTTTGGCGGCGAGGGCCCCTGCGCAAGACGCTCTCGGTCCTCGCTTTGGCTCCGGCTGCAAGGCCTCTCGCTGCGCGGACACTCGCCTGTGTTTGCGCCGAGCCAGCGGCGTGCAGGTGGTGCTGGCCGAGTCCTGTGCGGTCACTTCTCGCCCGGGCCAGCGTCCGGCGCCGTGGCCGGCCTGGGCGGTTCTGCTGTTGCAAGCCTGTTGTTCCCGGTGACCCACGAGACACTGCAGGCGGCCCGGGCCGAGGGCACCCCATTGGCCGTCCCTCTCCAGGCACCTTTGTGGCGACCCCTCCCGCCAAGCCGCTCCGGCGTGTCCCAGCTCGCGGCTATCTGGGCGTCCGGACGGGCTGGCAGCCGGGACCTTACCCTGGACCTGGCTGACGTCTTCCGAAAGTGGACGGCGCCGAAGCGCGCTGTGGGAGGGAGATGAGTTTGCCGGGGGTCACGACCGCCCCGGAGCCCGGACGCCGGCGGCTGCGCGCGGCCTGATGCAGGAGCCGGCCTGCCTGACTGAGCGGAAACTAACCGCGCCTCTCTGCCGTCCCCAGATGTAGTGGAGCCGAGCGCGAGGGCCGCGCGCCTGGGCCCCGCAGCAGCCGAGCCCTGTGAGCCCGTCTCCGCCGCCCGGGCCGGCCGGCCGGGGGCGCGTGAGCGCGTGGTGGGGACCGGCCCGCCCCCCCCGGAAGGGCTTCTGAGCTCCTCCAGAAAGACTGCGCTGGCCTCTCCCGAGAAGGCGCCGCCCCCCGCCAGGAGGCGGGGCCCCGGCGCGCCCTCTTCGTCCTCGTCGTCGTCCTCGTCGTCGTCGTCGTCCAGCTCCTCCGGCTCGGAGTCTGACGGGGAGGGCCCCGGCTCCACAGCGCGTCCTCGCGTGGCGGGCGAGGGCAGAGGCAGGCTCCGCAAGCCAGAGGCCCCCCAGACGGTGGTGTCCGCCAGGGGACGGCCGCTCGTGGACCCCACCTCTTTCGAGAAGCCCCGTCGGGCAGAGAAAGGGAGCAGGGGCAGAGAGGCCGCCACGCCCCCGGAGGAGCCAGGCGGGCAGGATGCCAGGGGCGCGCCTGCACCGAGCCGG